CTGACAGGAGAGAGAGAGACTGCTCACTGACAGGGAGAGAGAGAGAGACTGCTCACTGACAGGGAGAGAGAGAGAGACTGCTCACTGACAGGGGGAGCACTGTGACTGGCAGGAAGAAAGCACAGACTTGGGGGGGTGAGCACTGATTGACTGGCAGGGAGAAAGCACAGACTTGGGAGGGGAGCACTGACGACCGGCAGGAGACAGACTGGGACCCACAGCGACCGGGGGTACCGGCGACAAGACCGCAGGAGAAAGCACAGACCGGGAGACTGATTGACCGGCGGGCCACAGACTGGGACACTGATTGACTGGCAGGGAGAAAGCACAGACTGGTGGGGGGGGAGCACTGTGACTGGCTGGCGGAAGTCACTGAGTACTGATTGACTGGCAGCAAGTTGTACTGATTGGGAGCGGGAATGACTAGCTGGTTAGACACTAATTGACAGGGGAGAAACACTGCTGGGGAGCACTGATAGACTGACAGGGGGATATTACTGATAGAGTCGGAGAGGGAAGGCCCCAATTAACTAGAAGAGGGAATTGCATATGGAAGAGATCACTTCCTGAAGGTGTGGTATAATTAACAGGAAGTACTGATTGACTGACTGGGAAGGGGATTCACTATCTGGGGGAGCACTGACTGACTTGGAGGAAATACTGATGGCCTGTGAATGAGTTCCCCGGACTAAGGGTGTCACTGACTTGGGCTGCTTATCGATGGACTAGGAGGGGAAGAATGGGCTTTACTCATTTAGAGGGGTCATTAATGCTGGTCATTATATAGAGTACTACTGATTGTGGGGGTAGAGGAGTTTTGACTTATTGATAGGGTGAGAGAATCAGTGACTTAAGGGCCATGGACTAAGAGGTCAAATACCAGACCTGAAAACAACTAATTGAAAAGACTTACTCAGAACTGCACCATATTTGTAATAGCGAGAGAGATTTTGTCATCACAAAATGCACGTTTCATACCAATGGCTTTACAATTGAGGTGCAAGTGTGTGTTTGTTAAATTGTTAAACTAATTTAGCATTTTTCTTTTTAAAGCTAATTGATTTAAAATTATTGGATGCCAAGTCAAATTACATTTTTATAAGTTACCAACACCCATGGAATGTTACCAGTCTATAAACCACTAAATAAAGAAATGAGCAAAGTGAGATGTGATTACTAGTTTCACTTTAAAATTTATCTCAAAGGTTTTTACTAGTCTTTTCTCTTGGATAATCCAACCGTATAGCACCACAATCACTCCCCAAAAAAAAACATGCACTGCAAGCATATTCTATGCATGGTTATACAATACTTGGTCCATGTGTTTGCAAACCTTAACACAATAGTTTTAGAAACATGGTTTCAGTAGCCAAAACAATATTGGTTACTAAATGTTCAATAACAGCCAAATTCATCAGATTTATGCAAATACATATGCAGTAATTTAGTAATGGGCAAATTAAATATGTATAAATTTAGTTTGGTACATCCAGCTAATCGAGTGAGAATTAGATTTCAGGTGAACTGAAACTTCATTTGGACATAGACTCAGGGGTTACACTTGGGGAAGACTTATCAACCCCCAAATTCGGCAATTTTTTGCTTCTGGTTATCCTTGAATGAAAGTTCTTGGTTACAGAGAAAGGCTTTGTATAGTCGCTAGTTCTTTGCGAAGACTTGTTGAAATTGTCTGGGTTATCCACTGAAGTGAGAATTCAAAGTGAAGTTCAAATGTAGGGACAAAATGGATTATTTTCTCTCAAGTCAGCTATGCTTCCAAATCTGTTACTCTGACCATATATTATAAATTCACTTTGAATTCTCACTTTAGTAGATAACCCTTGTATGTCTAATAAACCATTGATATTGACTTTTTTTTTGTTTTGTTTTTTTAATCTTTCCTTATGTCAGGTTTCAGTGCTCCAGTCAACCTCTGATCCATCACGAAAAATATGTGTTGCAAACACACATTTATATTTTCATCCAAAAGGTAATTTTTTACTTGTCTACTTCAGACTTTTAGGAATACCGAGATTTTTACAAGTGAATCCCTCTTCATATGGAACTGGATACTGAGCCTAAAAAGCAGCTATTTATTTTGATCACATATTTAATTGAAAATCAGAATAACATTCTGTATAAAAATGTTACGGTCATTTAGAAACTGATGTTGCCTTTTAAAGTGCACCTGTCATTAAAAAGTTATTCAGTTAGGTGTGAATTTCAAATTATAGGCGAAGATGGCCACATTTTTATTTGAATAAAAAATGGCTATTTTGCCATAAAACTTTTTAATTCCTAAGAATCCACACTGGTAAATAAGCCTGTAAGTCCTGGTCGCATTCTATATGCCAGGAATAGGCAGACTCCAGCTATTGTAGACTACATTTATCATAATGCTGGCAACGCATCAATTGAGATGTAGTCTACTCCTCTGACAAAGAGATGAGCATTATCCTAAAATACATGGTGGGTAAATAATCTGGGGATTCAGTATCTACCCATAATATATATTTTAACCTATTTAATTTCTCAACACAAAGTTTTAGTGTTTTCTTAAAGGGACACTATAGTCACCCAGACCACTTCAGCTCAGTTAAGTGGTCTGAGTGCCAGACCCCTCAGGTTTAAACCCTTCACATGTAAACATAAGTTTCAGAGAAACTTATTTTAGCATTTGGGGTTAATCCTGCCTCTAGTGGCTGTCTTCTGGACTGCCACTAAAGGCGAATTTTGCCTCCATCGCACAGAGCATCCATAGGAAAGTATTGAGAAATGCTTTCCTATGGACACTTTGAATGCGCGTGCGGCACTTGCCGCACATTCGGCTCCAATGACGTCTGACAGGGAGGAGAGGTCACCAGTTAAGGCAAGTGCTTCAGCGCCACGGGAGGGGGACCCTGAGGGTGGGGGGACCCTCGAGGCACTATAGTGTCAGGAAAACCGCTTTGTTTTCCTGACACTATAGTGATCCTTTAAAACACTAAGTATTTATTTGGTTGTTCCTCTTCCTAGATTACTGCTGTTAATTGTTAGGAATTTAAAGTAAATTTAATTTTTTTGACTACACGACAAATTAGAAAAATTCAGTCAGCTATATTTTCAGTTCGGTTATTTTTGCTCTAAGATTTGAAAATCATTTTAAACTCACAATTTCTTTCATGAACTGTTATTTTGGCATCTGTTTTATAATAAATGTATATTTTCTCATAGCACAAATACACCTAAACTATATTTTTTTTGGGACATCTGTCCAGTAAATTGTGCACTCTAATTTTCATAATTTTTGTTCACAGGAGGCAACATACGTTTAGTTCAAATAGGAGTAGCCCTTACCCACATTAGACACATAGCATATGAACTGTACCCTGGCATTCCAGTCATCTTCTGCGGGGATTTTAATAGCACACCTTCCACCGGAATGTACAGCTTTATTACAAATGGGACCATCTCTGAGGACCACGAAGATTGGACCTCGAACGGCGAGGATGAACGGTGTAATATGTCTTTCACTCACCCCTTCAAATTGAAAAGTGCTTGTGGGGAACCTGCGTACACCAATTATGTAGGAGGATTCCATGGATGCTTAGACTATATATTTATTGATTCAGAGCGGATTGAAGTAGAACAAATAATTCCATTACCAAGTCATGAAGAAGTGACCAGTCACCAAGCTTTACCCAGCGTTTCACATCCTTCAGATCATATAGCACTTATATGTGACCTGAAGTGGTAGTTGATACACACGGGCATGTCCTTCAATTTATAGATTACTCAAATTGTGAGATGAAGAAATCAAACTTGCAGTACAAACATTCTCCTGAAATGTGTGCAGCTACACAACAGTAAGGCACACATCATTGCTTTTCAAAGCTATCCCTTTAAATAAATGATTTTTATGCAACAGATGTCTTGATGTGATTAAAATATAGTATTACAAAAATACTTTCTGCTGTGGAGTGCATGATTGGACCAGTTTTGCTTTCCAAAAGTAATTGGCAGAAGTCAGCTGTATTGCAATAGTAAAGGGGCACGATAGTCACCAGTAGTACTACATTAAGCTTTAGTGGTTCTGGTGTCTACAGAATGTCCCTGCTGGTTTTTTTTTTTTAGAGAAAAGGCAGTGTCTACATTGCTGCCTAGTAATCTCTAGTGGCAGTCACTCAGACAGGACACTGAATGTGGCCCACTGCGCTGCATTGATTCAGTGCATTTCAGGGAGGAGATGCTAGTTTTGCTGTGCATGAGCAATAGCCTCCCAATGCTTTACTAACAGAATGCAATAGATTGGCAGGAACCAAGATTGATGAAACCAGCAACAAAGGTAGAGTCATGTTAGGCCACCACTGTGTGACCAGCACGGCGTTGGAGAAAAGGTTTCATTCATGTGTGTTTAGTTTTTGTGGATTCTTACCACACAAAATATTGAATTCCATATAACTAATGAGCGCACTGTAATGGTTAGTGTCAGGACTATAGGGTTGACTTCGCAGAGTAATTTATCAAAACAAGTTTAGAAGATATTTACAACTTACCTGTGTCCCTTTGGCCCTTGTCCTGCAGGAGAAGCTGGATGTTATCACAGGAGTGTGAATATTTTTCTTTAAAAAAAAATACATGTCCCAGGAACTAAAGTTGTAGCACAATCGACTAGTCCTGCTAAAATAATTTCAATATTTGGGGACACCCTTGACTGGGTTAAACGGATGCCAAACATAGCTCACCTGGACAATTTTCCAACTCCTTTATAGTCACAAGCTATGGCAAAACTGGGCAATAAAATGTCAAGAGAATTTAATTTTCTAAAATTTGGAGTTGAGTTTTTCCTTATCCTCCTACATAGTGTATACTGGGTCAGGTGAAAAGTATTTGTGTGAGTTGACTGGATGTAGGATGGTGTCTGCTGGTAATGTATGGGTGCTCTGTTTTGCCCCCACCCTGATTTGCTTTCCTGGGTGAGAGATGGTCTAAAGGTCATATTCCTCAGCAGTCTAGTGAAGTAGCGGCTGCACTCCTCAGTTTAATTGTTCATTGTGAGTGCATACTTGGAATCCTGACATCTGCGGTCTGACTCACTAGAGAGCGCCAACCATGAGAGCAATGACACAGAGCTGTGTAGTTGCTAAGGGTGCAGACCTCATGCTCCCAGCACCGTCCTCCCGATGCAATTGCTTGCCCGCAGTAAGGCATCACACACAAAAAAACTGCATAGTGCCCAGAACTGGGTGTCAGGCAATACAAATTCCACATCCATGACCAAGCAGATCTAATGCCATTAGCCAAATAGCTCAGTGGCACTCCTTCAATGAGAATCGCAAAAGAGGGCTGCAGACTGTAGTGGTTATGGTTCTTGCAGTTTTTTGTTTTGTTTTTTTAAATAAGCATACACAATTAAAACAAGTTTTTGGTTTTTTTTGGTTTTTTTTACAATTTTATTAGGAATAAATCTTAGTGGGTTATGGAGAGAAAATGTCCATTTTTCAGTTTGAGGAATTAAAAAATAAAAAAAGAAATCTTGCATTATGACGATATGTCACCAATAAACAATAAAACAATCAGCCGAGCTATGATACAATGGGCCAAATGGTCAAGCAGTAAAGCAACATGCGACTAAAACTAATCTTAAAGTGACAATCTGCTGAAAAAACAAGCCAAGACCCCCTTCTACTGTGCCTTACACTGACAGCAAAGGAAGTTATTGCGAGGTTGTTCCGGCCAATTTGGGAGACATTATGTTCTATCCTCAAAAATAAATGTTTAAGGAGAACTAGCGTCTTCTAAAAGAAATAAAATGAATGCTAACTGGTTTAAGCTAATTAAATAGTGTTTTTATTGGGGGATTTTCTATTTTTTTTTGCTGGCACGAGCAGTAAAATAAAGAGTTTAGACAACACAGTCGGTAACCTCTGCCACTTGAGAGGGTTCGTTTTTATTGTGGGGAAAATATTTTAAATAAATACGCATGGAATGCTATGTTTTAAATCAGCAGAAATGTCTAAGGAATGACACAATCAAAAAATTTAAAAAAAATCTTGAAGCATAGACACTATTTTAAATCCATCAGTTAACCAGGATCGGGCAACACATGGCCCCAACCAACTCAAATATGACTTTGTTAATGACAAGATTACAAGAGGAACAAACCTCCCGCCCCCCACAAAACAACTTTCAATTCTATAGCATCACAATAATTATGTCCAGGAATAAAAGCTTGGGGAAAATAGGGGACAAGTAGAACCAGGAGTACACATTCACAGAAGGGAGGATTTATTATATTTTTCCATTTTAACCCCTGCCATGTTACCCTGGAAGTAACATGGAAACAAATAGTTTGGTAAATAAACAAAAAATAAATCTTTAAACATATGACTGTTGGCTGCCCATACCAGTTCCTTAAACCATATAAATGACCAAGATGCAAACTAGTTTGGATGTTACGAGCCTAGGCCAATTCGATCGCCATGTCCTCGGTGCAAGAATTGTACGTGATTTAGCGCTTGGAGAGCTCGTTTGAAAGCCAGTCAAGTCCTTCATATAGACCGGTTCCTTGAGTCGCACAAGTTGCTTGCACATACCACTGAAAAACAAAAAAAACAGTTTAATAACTACATTCAATACAAGCCAAATCAGCTATCTACCATGTCTACTTGCTATTAAAGCACATAGAATGCATTCGTTATTTCTTTTCACTTGCAGGATAGCAATGTGTCTCTTAAAAGGGACACCGTAGGCACTGTATCTGCTTCATCTCATTAAACTGGTTATAGTGTCTGGAGTCCCCTGGTACCATCATTTCTTTCAGCATTAAACAGTTTTTAATGTTGTAATGTTTTAATGCTAAACAAGAGTCCACGGCAGTCTATCCCCTCTGTGCTGCTTTGGCTAATAAGGAAGTATTACCCTGAGAGGCAATGGGCAGCTGTGATTGGCTGAGTGTCAGCTGACTGCTTTTAACCTGTCAGAGCTCCAACTGACGGTATGACAACAAGGAAGTGTGTAATCTCTGCCTTATCTACACATACAGAAGGGGCCGGACTGTGGGTGGCCAGGGACTCTTATTTTGTGGCATACTGCACAAACATGGTGCAACACTGAATGGAGGGACAATGCCAGGCCACTCCAGGCACTATAACCAATTCAAAGAGACAAAGTGTTTATAGTGACTACAGTGTCCCTTTAAGCTCTCTCCAGACATTTATCTAGGTTTCATGTCTCTACCAACTTTATTGGAAGGCAATTCAACACCTGACAGTATCCATAAATATCCCTCAGACTATAAGTTTTCTACAGAAAAGGGCACTTTGTCTAAAAAATATTTAATATTTTGGTCTAATATCCTATTATGGCTTATGCTCTCATATATATATTCTTATGCATAATTATGTGAATCTGTACCCTTCCCTCAGTTTCTTTTAGTGCAGGACTGACAAAGCTTCATCGCACATTCCAGTTCTCTTCTAGTACAATATTGCACGGAAGACAAAGGTTTTTAAAAGTAGACGATCTGAGCAACATGGCACTGGGACTTAAAACATGTAAACTAAAGAAGCTTCTAGGTTTTTCTGTTAATTTATTAGATTGTTTGCTAACTGCTAAAGTATATTCTTACACTGACAGCAAAGGAAGTTATTGTGAGGTTGTTCTGGCCAACTTGGGAGACATTATGTTCTATCCTCAAAGATAAATGTTTAAGGAGAACTAGAGTCTTCTAAAAGAAACTAGTAGTAGTACTAGGAGTAGTTAGGCAATTATCTATATACTTCTTCCCTTTTTAAGGTGTAACTGGTAAGTACACAGTATTTCAGATTAAATGGAAGCACATAAAAAGTTATTTCAATATTAACATGTCCATTATCAGCAGTTTGCTACTATTTGAGTGACAACAGAGAACAGGAGAGCCCTCCTGCACGCAGTTCTCTTGCTCTCCTTCAGCAACTACAGCCAATAGGGGGTGCATGGTAAATATATTTGTCACAAATGAATCATTGATAAAACCGGTACTGATGCTACCATAATACTTACAGTCTTATTACGAAGAGTCTGGAGTGTCAATTTGTCTGTCATTTCACTGATCGCCATGGCATTGGGCAGGTCTTGCTTATTTGCAAAGACTAGAAGTACTGCATCTCTCAGCTCATCCTCCTGAAGCTAAAAAAGGAAAGAGAAGAACAAATAAAATAGAAACTCAACCAATACAATGCAAAATACACCTTGCTCAAGGTCAGAACCTTTAGTTTTTCTACACTAGTGAACGGAAAACCAAATTGCTAAATTTAGGTTCAGATCCTTTTACAGTTTGACAATGTTATCCTAGTTTTTGCAGTTCAACTTTAAATGCACTGTAAAGGATAAGACCGTGCCAGTTGCTCTGGTTACGATTAATATTTGGGGGCTCAGGGCAAAAGTGAGAAAAGGCAGGAGGAAAGGAGTTCTAGACTACATGCTTTTTGATGTGATAGAAAGTAGCCACTTACCATTTTCTGTAATTCTTCGGCAGCTTCCTGAATTCTCTCTCTATCATTACTATCTACAACGAAAATGAGACCCTGTCCGAAAAAAAAATAAAAAGAAATTGAATATTGGCACAAGTAGCTTAAAAAATTATTATAAAACAGATTATTTTGTTAAGATTGGCAGTTTTGGATTACTGAGACATGTTAAAAAAAAAAATGTACACACACAACTAAATGGACTTTAGGAATCTCAGCTAGAATCCAAAAACCCTCACTATACAAGATCACATTTGCACATTTAAAATGCAGGAATCATCAATACCATATTGTGGTCTTCATTTAGTCTCACCTTCCTCCACCAAAACTGCAGTGTGGTGCTGGGATAAAAAGTCCTTCTTGTGCACCCTAGCCATTGGGACAGAGTATAATAAATAATTGAGGGTTAAGGGCTTCTAAAACCACACGCAGTACTAGCTGGCTCCCTGTCCCCTCGTCTCATGACCAAAGTCATTGTCCATTAATAATTAATGATATATTAAAAACAAAAAAACCTGCCCCCACCCTCCCACCCGATAGGTGATATCCAGTCTCTGTTCACAAAGTTAACAACTAAATGCAAGGTGAATTAGGGCCCAAGTCTCCGGACACCTGGCACATAATCCCATCACATAAAAATAAGCAGTTCTGGGCTGCAACCGGTTATGTTACCAAAAGCTAGCACGGTTGCTTCTCCATAAGAAGAGTTCAAGGGATTTTTGCCTTTTTGTTTAGTTAGAAACAGGTACTGAATGGAGCATTAACAGTTTTAAATGCTCATTAAACACGCACTAAAAAAGAGGTTAATGAATGCAGACTTTGTCCAGAGAGGTATAAAACAAATCTTTTCCCTTGACTAGTACTCAAAAAGTTAAGAGTCAAAAAGGATGGGAAAGGGGGACTTCTTAACAATCCAGTGCTGTCATAATACATCTCCTCTCCTTAAATCATGGGCACAGAGCACAATTCTGTTAAATCAGGTGTAAAGTATTCCATCTGCTCAGAGCAGGAGAGATTAAGCATACCTGCGTGTTCTGGAAATAGTGTCTCCAGAGGGGTCGGATTTTATCCTGGCCACCAACATCCCACACGGTGAAGCAGATATTTTTATATTCTACGGTTTCCACATTAAAACCTTAACAATGAAAATAAAATAATAGTTTTAAAAAACACCTCGAAATACATAACCGTCTAAAGAGGAAAACAAGCAAACAAAAACAAAATGCTGAAGAGCTGTTATTTGCTGGTTGCATGTCATGCATACAGATCCATCATTTTTACAGGACTATGCACTGTTTTCATGTAATACATGCTTGTAGAAAGCACGCACGTAGAACCTACAGTATGGGAGCGTATGGAAGACAAAGTTAGAAGCTTTGTCTGTGATCACTGAACTGCATACAATTACACATTATACAGATACTCCTGGATGTCCAGGGTTTAAGAAGACAAGACTGGAGCTAGCTCCAAATGGCTGGGTACAAAGTAACAGACTGGATATACTTCGCAATGGTCA